GGGGGGGGGGGGGGGGGGGGGGGGGGGGTCGACCACCTCGCACTACCGCCAGCTGTGGTGCATATTAAGTTTAGTTTTAGAGATTAATATGTTTATAGATTTTTTAAATAGGTTTAGAGATTAATATTTTGTGCTTTTTGTTTGTGAAACAAGGTCAGAGGAAGCTGGTTCTGGTTCGGTGGATTGGACCCGGTGTTACACAATTCTTTGTGACCTGCAACAGTGCAACACTGCCCTCTACGGTCATACGGTGGTCACATGATATGACGTCACTACGGATACTCGACGTTACATTTTTAACCTCGATAGATGTCCTAGCAATAGATGTGTAGATTACTTGAGTACTCTGTTAATGCCCTATATATCACTGAGGTATAACTTTTGGAATAATCTAGGGGGCACACTCGAATCAAATGCTAAATTACAACACAAATGCATATAGAAGTGCTTACTGATCACTTTTTTTCTGCCCAGTGAAGTTACCACATGAGTTATGGCTAAAACCCCACTGCAGCCTCTCCTCTAAGGGGTATATTGGACTAATCTAACACTTGGGCTTTACCTAGAGTGACATTAGGCTAGTTCTGTCTAAGGCTGTGTTGGAGGTGACTCACCCAGACTGTTCATGGCCATCATTTGCGAGTCACACCCTTGTCTCACCCTGTGACTCGTGCAACCTAGTAGTCGGGGTTAAATCGTTGATCACGGGGAAACTGGCATTTTGGCTGCTCACCTCCTATTGTAGAATTGCAATTGTTATTGATCCGGTAGTTTTGAGAATCTAGGCACAAGATTCCAGGGTGTTGTTCGATCCAACCTGCAAAACCTTTAAAAACCTCCTCTTTTTGATGAAATTGAACCAAGCTTTCCAACTTTTTGAGTACGAATATGTAGAAATGATAGTCCAGAATTTTACATTTTATGCTTTGCTTTAATTAGGGATTTGCAGGGGTACAGCGTCATCAGCACATTATGATTGGTTACATTTGATCATTTAAAAAGATTAACGACAGATAGTTCATGCCTGGTACCAGGGAGTGTCTTATTGGTCTAGTGAAATGTTCAGGGTCCTGGAGTGTCCACTGAGGTGAGGATCTCCTGGCTCCCATGAGCTGAGTTAGAGAATCTTGTCTCCTAATGCCTAAATTGTCATTTCAGAGCAGCCTATTCCCACAAGAATGGACTAACATGCACTTGGAGCCCCAAAGCATGTTAAATCCCCACAAACCCGTAATCACTGTCTCATGTACGAACCAAGTTTATCTGGACCTGTTACAATCCACCTTGACAGCACACAGATCACGTGGTAACTTTTCAAGTAGGCTGGAAGCAGAACAACACTCTCAATCTAACCCTTCTTCTTAATTATAGGAAGACTGTTACTTCATATAAAATTTAGCATTTGGACAATATGTTAGGGGTCGCTCACCATTTGTGCCCGAAGACTTTTGGAAAATGGCACAATAAATATCTCCTCCAGAGCCCTAGAAGAGATCTCCCTTAACTCCCCGAAAGCAGTCCTAATCCTGAGGAGTCTGGTCTGGCGTCAGCTCAGCTGAACGAAAGAATATTCCTATCTTGATGAAAAAGAAGTCTTATTTGAGATGTTCCTGATCCTTCAGAGTAGCTCCTAGGGGGGAAGCTATATTGTCCTAATCCTTTAACTCCACTGTCCGTTCAGCCCAGACTTGCCAGTAGGCTTGGTTTAAATAGGAGATCTTTTTACTGGACAACCCAGTTTTCCCTTTTACTAGCTTGGTGTCATTTTCTGATTGGACTTTAGTTCTTAGGAAGGTCGTCCCTCTGGTAAACAGTTAGACTGTCTCCAAACTGTGCCCTTATAAGGTATTGAGTTGTATTGTTCCTCTGCTCCTCAGCTCACAAGCTTACTAGTTACTAACACATGATTCTTTTTACAGCCTGTCCTTTTACGGTAATGTTCAGCTTTGCTCGGCTCCTACATGTACTACTGTTCTGATTAGGTCAGCTGTTTGCAACATTCCAAGGGAAATGCAACCTCTCCCCCAGAACACAGCTGACTCCCTTTACTGCTGTTTATAGGTATCAACTCACCATTTATTCTTCTCCCAGACCACAGCTGGCTCCCTTTACTGCTGTTTATAGGTGTCGACTCACTACTTTTCCCTTCTCCCAGACCACAGCTGGCTCCCGTTCTGCTGTTTTATAGGCGTCGACTCACCACTTTTCCCTTCTCCCAGACCACAGCATGAACAACACAGCATTTCATTTTATACAGTATAAATCATTTCACTTCACCCTAATCACAGGATGTAGGACAACTTGTTACAATCACATAATAATCAATACTTAGAAATCAATTTGTCTACATCACAGAGAGTACAAATCTGTTACTTGGAAGCCTCTGGCAGATACGATTTCATTCAATAAACAACATTACTTGACACCCCCTCCATGAAATCGGGATCTGCCTTTGTTAAGCCCGTAGCCAGCCACCTTCAGAAGTGTCCAA